TCCCTATTTTAGAGGAAAACTGAGGCATATTGAGGTTAGTGATTTTTTCCAGAATCGCACTGCAGGGAGAGGCCAAATCTCCTGACATCCAGAATCATTCTTTCCCACTACATCGTAAAACCTCACTTATAATTCATTCAGTGGAGGCCTCTTTTTTCTTTCTTTTCATTCACTGTTATGTGGAAGAAAGTGTAGTGAAAAAAGCATGGCGTCTGAGACAGACAAACATGGGGTAGGAATTTTCTGACAAATTATACTGCTTTGCTTAGCATTAAGGTTGGTCCTAATAAAATAGTTGGATTGTCTAAAAGAAATGATGATAAACCTACACACATAACCAAAGATCAGATAAGTGAGTTTGTACCTCCTCAGACTTTATGCCCCGTCCAAGGATTTTATGACAGATTACATGAAAACTACTAAGCAAAGCTAACTGGAAAAAAAAAAGTAAAGATAAAAGAATGGCAGTGTTAATACCAATCGATTTGTTAGAAAATGCCACGGCAAACAAGCTTTAGGGCTTACTATAAGGGTAATAACTCATCTAGTAAGTTAAGGAGGTAATCAAAATCAGGATCTAGTTTTCAAAGCGTTAGGTATTTTTCATGAGCTCTAGCTGGGCCCTTTTTATATTCATATATATTTTCCACATCTCTCCTAAATAATTTTGATAAACCTGTTCTCAAAAAGTGCCTTAAAGGTGGTACCATTATCTAAACTTAAAGCATATAGATCCATTTTTCAGTTATGGTATTTTTTGAGGTTGTACACAAATTTTACCACTAGTTAAGCTAAAGGGAAAAAATATGCTAATCACACTTTTTTCAGCCTTAAAATTCTCTCTGCATTTGTTTAAAAAATGATGAATCAGCTTTCCATGGAGACAGCGCTCTCACCAACTTGGTGAATGCTCTTAAATCCTACAGACTTTCTGTGAGAAGTGTGGCGAGCACCAGCCGACAAAGTAACACGGTATAGGAACGGCAGGACTCCCTGTATTCGCAGGGAGAGCAGCGTTGTGACAGGAAGCAGAGTGGCTGCAGTGGGCAGCCTGGGCCGATTTTCAACCAAAAGGCTGAAACTATAAAGAAAATTGTGTTGAGCCTAACTGCAGATCTAAGAGAATGCTGGCTATTAAGACATTCAAGCATTCTGGACTGGGAGGAGACAGGAAGAAAAGGGGCCAAGTGATCCAGTTCTAAGCTTCGAGTCATTATGTGCTGATACAATCTTGAGGACGAAAAAATGCTGAATCATGAAATTAAGGAAATAGACATGCAAAGAACCCAAACAAGTAGTTCATCTCATATGTCAAGTTTCCTAATTATGTTACCTTATCATTTTGGTCCTGTTAAGCATTTGGAACCAAGTAACTTGAAGGGCCCTAGTAGTTAGAAGAGTAGAATTCATTCTCAGAAACTGAACTAGAGGATAAGGCTAAAGGCATTTATTTCTACAAGTTATTATGCTTTTAACTTCCTGTTTTATTTATGCAGCTCATCATGACCATTTCAGGTAACAATGCAGAAGTTAAAAAAACCAACTTCCTCTTTATAAAGTGATAAAAACTTCAGCAGTTAGTTATGAGAATGGTCGATCTTACTAGCTTTTGTAGAAATACTTGCAAGGAAATCACCAAATTCACCTCTGGGTTCAGTGGTTTCGGAAAATGTAAGAAAGATAAAAAGCTGTATTAAAACATATTTGGCATCAAGACACACATGCCCTAAAAAAACTCAAATCAAATGCGGTTGAAGTCTTAAAAACAGAAAAAATGGAAACTTCAGAGTTCCTTCAAGGAAGAATCAATACAAATTAAGGCTAAAAATATCTTTTTAAAAATTTTGTTTGCAGCTCTGGCTGGCATAGCTCAGTGGATTGAGCGTGGGCTGCAAACCAAAGCATAGCAGGTTCGAGGCCCAGTCAGGGCACATGCCTGGATTGCAAGCCACGGCCCCCAGCAACCGCACATTGATGTTTCTCTCTCTTTCTCTCCCTCTCTCTTCCTCTCTCCCTTCCCTCTCTAAAAATAAATAAATAAAATCTTTTAAAAAATTTGTTTGCAATTAAAATTTTATAGGATAAAAATCTCACTTAAGGGTAACTTATTGTTTCTGAATGCTAAGATATTAATTTCAACGAGTCTTGTTAGAAAAACACTTTCTCAATTCTTGAACTCCGTTAAAAGAAAGCCTGGGGGAAGAGGAGGCAAGTCAGGTATGAAGCTGAAGAGAACTGAAGAAATCTTACAAGTCAAAGCTCTTCCTTTTTACTTAGAGATCCACAACAGAGAAATACATCATCAGTTTCAGCTCTGTAAATGAGAACCTAACAAATTTCAGAAACTTCAAATTATATGGATTCCTTGGGACACTTACTATATCAGTTATTCTTAATTAGCCACACTAATGAAGACAGGTGGTTAATCTAAAACTGGTTACTGAACATCAAATTCGTCAACATTTTTGGGCAGATTTACCTTACTAATTGTGATTTGCTAATTTTGCCATTCATTAAGCAACAAAAGCAGCATGCTGGGAAATAAGAAGAACCAGGTTGTATCTGCAATCATAAAATCACTATTAATATTATAAACACTGTCACTGTTCACAGGCATCTTAATTTGCACTTTGAAATCCATGTATATATTGTCCTAAGTTTAATTAAAAAGGCATTCTAACCCAGTGTCAAAGACAAACACCTGAGAACACTGGTAAATGTAGCATTGTTTGGGCATAATAAACTTCAAAGTTTACTGTTATTTAAATGCTCAGTGAAACTGTGCTGTAACAATATTTTTTCTTAAAATACGAGGACCACCCGCTGGGCTCACAAGTGTTGTGTCCTGCCCTGAAGTTCACTGCAATTTAATTTCACCTGAATCTTAACTATGTGCCTTAGAACAAGCGTTTATTATAGTTTTCTCTCCAGCACAAATTCATGTAAAATGCCTTTCCCCCCTAAACTTACACAGGCATGAGAATTTCCAAGAAAGAGAACATTTAACACTAAAGTGCATTTCAAGAAGGCATGCCACATGTAGGTATACTATACCAGACTATTCTATACAGAGGACTCCTGGATCATAAACGGTCCCCTCCACCATCCCAATCTCTCTCATAGAAGAATTCTGTTTCTAGAGCCGAGGTACATGTAGAGAACACTCAAGGGCGCACATTTTGTAACAGACACTATAGGAAACAAAAGACATCACTCTTGTCCTACAGTCATCTAGTGAAATCAGTCTCATTTCTACAGGCCCTAAAATCACGTGAAAAGCCTGATAAACTGTGAACAAAGGTGTGCAGTTGTCAGAAAAAAAAAAATTCTACCTAACAGAATATGCTCTTACACTTCAGACACTGTTGAAAAAACAAGTACACAAATGACACACTGACAAATTCAAGTATAATCAAAGACACCCCAGTGGAGCATCAAAGAAGCCACGATGCTTTTGTCCAGACTTGAATGTGTCAACATGAGGTTTCTGGGCCTTATAAAACCATCCTGGAGTTAAAAAAAAAAAAAAAAAAGAATCCGCTGGCTACGCTCAATCGGTTAACAAGAAATTGAAAACTATTTTTTCAATGACTATCTTTAAGAGGATGTAAGACGCGAGGGAGGGAGTCACCGCGGGGCCCTCTGCACAGACATACAATCCGGGGAGTGTCGACAGGGACAAGAGCGGTGCTCGAATCCTGCATGAGGCTTACACATCTGACTGCGAACTAGTTCAGCTTATAGTTTGTGAGAAGGGACGGAGAGGGACCTCGGTCTGTCGAGGAGTCGTGACAGCAAAATCACTTCCTGGTAAGGAGGAGCAAAAGGGAAGTTAAGAGGCCACCCTGACCAGGAAGTGGCTCGCCCTAAACTCGCCCCAATCACACCTAAAAATGGGGGGATGGGGGAAGCCCTACCAGCTCAAGGCGGTAAAGCAACCGCCCCTTAATACGTCGCGACATCACCCTCGTCCCCTCTCTTCATCGACTCCATAGCCACGATTCAATAAGGGAAAAATCTCTTCTCCTGCAGGAGGGCCACTGGGCTGTGCCTCAGGCCCGGGAGGGAAGGAGTCGAGAAATGGGGAACTGCGGCCACTGTGAGCCGGGGTAAGCCCCTCGAGAGAAAAGCGTCCCAAGTGCTGCAGGCGTATGCCAGCACGGGCTAAGAAGCTCCTTTCTGCTGGGGTCCTTTCCAGGGATCCCACTGCAGCCGGGCCGGGCCCCAGTTGCCTGTCGCGGGAGGAGGTGAGAGTGAGAGAGGTGCACCCCTTACCTTCTCCTCATCCGACACCCGATCCTCGAAGTCGGCCATCTTGGCTGCTCTGGCCCAGCCCGGCCCGGGCGCGAGGCAGGCCGGGAAGGAAGCCGAGTGATGGAAGCACTGGGGCGGGGTGCAGGGGGCGCGTCGCAAAGACCCGCCCGGGCCGTGCGAAGGACCCACCCGGAAACGCCGAACCAGAGGGCGCCATGTCAGTTACGGGCGCCGGCACCCCAAAAAGTCGCCTTTGCCTTAAGTGATTTTCAAGTCTAATATCGTTCTCGCTGCTACATACATTTCCTCATTCATCTATGGAGGGCGCGTGTTTCGACTGCCCGAGCTCCATGCGGCCGAAGAGCAATTGCTATTCCTATAGGTTTTCTCAGCACCAGTGATTTCCATGGCAGACGAGTCCAAAAGAAGTGCGGCTCGGCCCTGCTCCATCGGTAGCTTTTCTAAGCCCAGGAAAAGGGAGAACGGGGTTGAAGGGTGACCCTCACTCGTATGGAAGCAACACCACTTCACCCCGGGGTCGCATCTCAGCCTAGTTTCTGCAGGAGTAGGCGCCGCTCCCCACCCCTTCCCACCCTCGGAAGGAAGAGGGAGCCCCAGCCCGGGGACGCTCCTTCACCTTCCAATTCTCGGTCCCCGTCCCCTGGGCCGCTCAGCCTCCACAGAGGCCAACCTCAGGTCCACCACTATCCCAGGATTCCCGACGCCGGGTTTCCTGCCCATCTCCCCCTCCCAGCGCCCGGCGCCTGAGGGAGCGGCAAGATGGCGGACGGTGGCGGCTTGGCTGAAGCCGCGACTGCTGCGTCTTCTCCCCCGGCACCTGCTCCCGGCCTGAGCCCGCCGCTGGGCTGGAGGGAGCGGCTGCGGGCCAGGCTGGCGGGCACTGGGGTCTCGCTGTGGTTCGTGGTGGGGCTGGGGCTGGGACTGCTTTACGCTCTGAGGGTCCCGCTGCGGCTGTGTGAGAATTTGGCAGCGGGTGAGAGGCCCAGACTTCTCCGGGGACGGGCAGGGGGCCAGGAGAGGTCCCGGGGGCAGGGGGCCAAAGGGCAGAGATTCAGTGGTCCCCGGTGGGCTTCGGAGAAGGAGTCGGTGGGGTGCGACCGAGCGGGATCTTTCTCGCGGGCCGCAAGCCCGCAGCTGACTGTCAAACCCCAGCTGCGGCCGCCGGCTCCTCCCTGGAGCTAAGGTCCGCCCTCCGCCTGCTGTCCTCGTTTACCCGGGGAGACGCCACCCGCCGAGCGGCCGGCCTCGGGCGGTAGGACAGACCGGGGAGCCCTTGCAGACTTGGACGCAGCGTCCGTACACGCCCCCCACCCCCAACCACCGCCACCATTGGTGGGAGCCCTCCCTTTGAGCCTCCCGCCGCTCGTCTGCGGGGGCCGCCGACCCCGACAACAAAGATGAGCGCCTCGGAGCCTCGCTTTAGAGAGCGAGGGTCCAAAAGAAAGAAAATGCCGTGATCATAACCACCCATTCTCATGTTTTAAAATAGTTTTGTCGAGCCATCGTTTTGGAGATTTTTTTGGCTGTTCTTGGCTTTGGGCTTTATCTGGGGTACTACAATAGAAAAGCACAGATAGTCAAGATTAAGAGAGCCACGGACCGCAGCGGGCTCTTTGTTTCAACATTTGTGCAGAGCTTGCGGTGTAGTGTGGGCTGAGGGTACGAAGCGAGTGGGAAGTGATGATCCCCGTGGGGTGCTGCAAAATCACCCTTGAGCAGGAGCCAGGACACGGGGGATGGGAGCCGGGGCCGCTTACCGCGCACTTACAGTGTGTCCGCCCCAGCTCTGAAACAGCAACCTCAGAACAAGACGGAAGCATTTCTGTTACGGGATGACTGTGACCGTCAGTACCGTGGTTTATTCTGTGCCACGAAAAGGCAAATGTCCCCATTTCTATCCCATGAGATGCCACGAAAGACCGAGATAATGTTCGGAAATGTTTTGGACTTTGTAGAATAAAAGCACTATGTAAATTCAGATACAACTAACATGCTAAAAAGCAAGCTAAGTAAATGAGCCTTGCTACACTGTTTGAAGTTGCAAATTTGGTGTCTCTGTAATAGTTAATTAATGAAATGCTGACGCGTTTTTTATGCTCAGTGAAATGTTATTCATTGAGCTGCTCATTTATTTTTCTACATGTTACGTAGGCACACCATTTAGATGAGACTAGCTAACTGTAATAAATGTTTCTCTCTGTAAAACCCAAAGTATTTATGAGACAATTATTTGAAGAGAAGAATCTGGTGCAGACTTGCAGGAAATCAGTGGCAAGGAGGGAGCTCTCAGTTTTTGCTCCTGTCTTTGGGCTGTTTTCCCTCTCTAGCTGACATAGCAAATACACACCCTGTTTTCTTCCAGCTAATTTGAAACACTGGTTTCTATCTCACCGAAATAATTAGGGAGTGTTTTAAACGTCTCCTGCAATAGGATGTTGGTTTAGCTATCCTTATAGATTTACAAAAGTTCTTAGCTAAATTATGATTTATAAGTTATCAAAAGCAAGCTAAATTATCTTATTTTAATCTGCTTATTTAACAAATCAACACTATAAAACCCCTTACATGTGTGAATTTTTAAAGGGTAGAATACAATGTGAATTTAAAGTAGCTTTTAAAAAATTACAACCTTTTTCAAATCAATCTCATACTAGGTAGTAATCCACTTATGTTCCTCTACTCAAAGACACTGCATATTTATAACTGGAGTACTTTGAATCTGCATTTTTTTTTAACTTAGATTTTTTTTCCCTTTGGCAGTGACAGTGTTTTTAAATTCATTGACGCCCAAATTCTATGTGGCACTTACAGGAACATCTTCTTTGATATCAGGACTAATATTTGTAAGTAGTTTCCATTTCCTTCACGTTTTTGTATTTATCTAAGTTTTGCACTTATCTAAGGATCAAATCTCTTTATATGGTTAGAATAATTATAAATATTTATGGATCAGCAGTCTCAAAATGTGTTCGGCGTTTGGAAAACCACTGCCTCTGCTCTCCACTTATAGAGGTTGACCATTTTCATTTGTGCATAAAAGACCATTGCCTGCTGTAGGGGACTGGGAGGTGGGTTGTTAACTAAACGCCTGCAGGGCCCAGTTTGGTGCTCTGGGAGGAAAATGAGTGACATGGTGGAGATTAAAAATTGAATTCCTTGCTTACTTTGAGTACTTGACAGTGCACGCTTCTTCTGGGGGGGCTGCAGCTGATGGTTGTCATGTGGACTTGCAGGCCATTTCTACCAGATCTCCCGGTCTTTCAAATGATTCCAAGAGAACCTGGATACACAAGTTTTACTATAAAATCTCATAATACTTTACTCTTGGCAACACCAGACAAACTAAAAATTTATCTCTGTCTTGAATTCAGCCTGTTGGCTGCCAGTTATCTTCCCTGGAGTGGTTCAGAGCAGGGATTTGGAGTCAGGTTAACCGTCACTTTCGGGGTGTGATTTATGAATTAATTTTCTATGTCCCAGTTTTCTCAAATGTAAACTGGGGGGTGGGGATATTAATAGTATCTACTTCATAGGATTATGAAGGCTAAATGAAATATGATATGTAAAAGCTTTTAACAGCCTGGTACTAACAGAGTAAATTTCGGCTATTGTTATTCTGAGAAGTCCTATGGTAAAGAAGCTTATTTAACTTTAATTCAGCTTCTCATTGTCTTGCTTGACCAAGCTAGCACTTTTAATTTTTAAAAAAGCTTTAGAATTTTATAATCTTTATTAACATCCCTAGGTACTAGTGTTTCCTTGAATAAACTTTGGAAAAATGCTGCTACCCATGAAAATCTTAGGAAGTATGGCATGCATGGCCAATGACTTTTTCCTCTACTTTTTTCTCATCTCTAGGTGGTGCTCTCCAGCTATAGTAGAAATAATAGCATCTGTGTTGGACTGTTTTGGTTTTGTTTTGTTTTTTTTACAAGGACTAACACTTGACCATTTTGTTAAAGTGAAATGCGGGACAAGAAAGGGATTTTTCTCTTAAAAAAATTATTGAGGAATTCAGGATGAAAAGTATGGGTTACTATAAGCCTCAAAAATTATTGATTTATAAAGCCCACTCATAATTAAACATACTTTAGCATATTTAGTCAATAGCATATGAGTCCAAATAAAGAAAATGAACTATCTTTAAATAACTGATGTAGTAGAAAATGCGTTGGTCATAGAACTAGAAGATGTGGTTTTTAAGTCTCGACTCTGCCAATTACTGTTTGATGCTTTGGGCAAGTCACAGCTATGAGTCTTAATTTCCTCATGTATAAGAGGGGGGAAATTTACATCTATATTATGCATATTACCTTTTTAAACCAAAGCTTTAAAATTAGGAAATTGAAGTAAAATTTTAAAGGTTAAATTATATCACTACTCTCGCTGTACTGATGGGTTTTCATCAGGGAAGGTTATTATTGTTTATAAGTTCTTTTATCACCTGGGCATACCAAACTTGTACACACACACACACACACACACTCACACACTTAACATATGCACGCACACTGAGGGAAGCTGGGGGGGCAGGCTGTGGAGTGGGTCGCAGGTCTGACGTCAGGCAGGCCTGAGTGAGAGCTCCAGCTCCGCCGGGTGCTGGCACGGTGGCCCGCGGAGCCGGAGCAGGTGTCCTCTCTGAAATGGATTGTCGTGAGGGGCGACTGGCAGAACCCACGTAAAGGGCTTGGCACAATGCTTGATAAGTATTAGCAGCTATCATCATTGCTCATTTGTGTTGAAAAGTTGACTCAGGAGGTGAAAATGACTAACCTTATATTAATTAATAAAAACTGCCAGCATTTAATATAGTGAAGGAGAGCGTGTCAGTGTTGCCTTTGTGATTCCTGTGACGACTGTCTTTTCTGTCACATGAATAATTTCTGTTTTTGTGATTTCTTCTGGTTGTTTTAAAGAGGTTTCATCCCACTTCTTAGTAAAACATGATAGAAGCCAAACCAGGGCTATATGTGGTGGTGATTAACTGCCTGCTAACTCTGTAAAAGTGGGCAGGAAGAGAAGCCATCCCTGACTGAGCATAAAATATTAGTGGCACGACAGAAAAAGTTCTGCACCTTGATTTTCTAGCTCTGTCCTGTATATGTTATAGCATTTAGTCAATGGAGTAATTGGGCTGCAATGTAGTACAAAATTACTGCATATTTTGGCATCTTTGTAATCTATTCTGTTGTTTACTAAAGCAAAGGATAAATTCCTGAAGGTTTAAAAACTGATTTCTCTGTGTGTGATGGCCTGTGTTTCTGATCACAGCAAAATAGTTTTTTGAAAGATTATAATCTCTTAGGCAGTTGTGGATATCTTTGCTTATTCTTCAAATAAAGGAATACATTTGTCTACCACCTTTGGCAGAATAGCCTGGCAGTTAACTTTCTAAGGAATATGGTCCACAGATGAGAGGAGGAAGACATTAAAGTTATTTTACAATCAAAGCATAGAAAACTAGCTACTAATCATTTGAATAATTTTAATGTATAAAGTTCCTGATTGATTGATGATTCATTTGACAAATATTTATAGAGAGCCTTTCATCTCTTAGGCACTCTTTTGGATTTTGGGGGATACCACGGTAAGCAGACAAACACAGATTCCGTTCTCATGAAATGTGGTCTAGAAGGTGATTGTGGACATTGCTTCATTCACCTAGCAATTTGTTCTTGAATACCTGCCTGCTGGGTGCCACACTGTTTCTGGGCATGGGGCTAGCAGCCATGAACAAAAAGAAAAGTCCCTGTCCTCTTGGAGCTGACATTATATTAGAGCAATATGCAGTAGGAGATAAATAAGTAGAACAAATAGTATGTTTTTACTATTAGTGATGCGTGCTGAAGGGGAAAATGAAGCAGAAAAAGGCATGTGAAGTGTCAGAGGAAAAGGCCGCAATTTCAGACAGGGAACTTAGGGGAGGCTTCACGGAAACAGTGACTCTTGAGTAGAGATCTGAAGCACACGAGGAAGCCAGCTGTGTGGTTTGTGTTACTTCTTCCTGAAGGGGCAGTGTGCTCGGGAGCTTGAAGAAGAGCAACGAGATCAGTTGTTCCAAGAATTATTACAGGGAAAAGACTCCTCTGGAAGGAAAGCACAGATCCAGTGTGAATACAGCTTTCTGTTCCATGGAATCAGGAAGTTTCCCAAGCCGGTGTCATTGAACCTGTAACCCAACGGAGCCAGGCAGAGGCAGTTGAGAGGGTTGCAGTGTCCAAATATGACACATTCTGCTGACTTAGCACCGAGCGCCAGCTTCTTTTTGTAACAGTGGTAAAACATGGGAACAGAAACAAGTGAATATCCTGATTTTTAAATGGTTCTAAATGGGGATCAACCTGACTCTTAAACTACATTAATAATACTGCCAAGTACTAGAACAGTAACTTTTTGCTCAAAAGGCACTTATTCTTGTGTAACCATGTTTAGTAATAGGACATTGAGGCTCTGAGAGGCTGGAGTTTAAGTGACTTGCCCAAAGCACACAGCTAACAGACAGCCAAATCAGGAGTCAAATGTGGGCATTCTCACCCTAGTCTAATCCACCTTCTGGGGTTCGTTGTTTCAAACTTGCTTTTCTCTTTAACTGTGCTCTAGACATAGAATAAAATGACAATGTAATGTAAGAGTTAGATTACCTACAGATGAAACCTTTTAATTGCTTTTAATATTTTATTTGCAGATGTCTTCCTTCTAGTTTTGTCTAAGTTTGTCTAAATTTCATGATAAAGCTATGAAAAAGGCATTTTACTTTAATTCAGCATGTGCTATTGGGGAATCTTGTGTTTGGCTTATTTTTTTTGGAAGGAGAGTACATTTAAAATGCTGACTTAAACAGGAACATCTTGAGATAATGTTTTAATTTGAGCGCACATATCTGTTGATCAGTCCTGTACTAAGGGAAGGGTGTTTTCTCTTTGTCGTAGATGTTTGAATGGTGGTACTTCCATAAACATGGCACGTCTTTTATGGAGCAAGTGTCTGTGAACCATTTGCGACCACTGATGGGAGGAACAGGAAACGGCATTTCAGAGCCAGGCTCTCCTTCCAGCAACAGAGAAAGTGAAACCAGCAGACAGAATCTGTCAGGTGACTACTTATCTAATGTGTTTTCAGAGCTGCATAGTTAAGATTGTGTTTGGCTGTGGGAGCTGGGAAACTCACAACAGAGAGAAGTTTGTCTTTCATGTAAATATAGGTAATCCACAGCTCGTACTGGGGAGCAATAATCAGCAGAGGCTCAGACTCCTATTTTGTTAGCAATGCAGTTTTGCCTTGTGGTCCAAGACTCTGACTTCAGCTCTCATATCCACATTCCAATCAGCAGGAAGGAGAATAGGCCAGGAGAAGTATACCCTTTCCCCTGCCTCACCCCACTGCCCCCAAGTGTTGCATACTGTATCACCTACTTCTGACTGGTCAGACCTTTGTCAAATGGCCACACTGTAAAGGAAGTTAAAATTGTGATTATTTTCTCAATGTACATATGCCCAGCTAATACTGAAAAATTAGGGGACCTTATTAGATAAAGGAGAGAACAGAGACAATTAGCCATCTCTGGCAAGAGAACAAAGTTAGGAAAACTTTGTTTTCTTTTATTCTCAATGCCTTTTATTCTCACTGCCTTTTATTCTCAATATATTTACAAGGACATCAGAATTATAGTTACTCAGGTATGGATATTCCTTTGTCATGCTTTAATTAAATATTTTTTCTCTATATGCATCTAGTAATACAAAATAAATGGTAATGATATACATTTAGGAAAGTAAAATTTTCAAAGCCAAATAGAAATATTTTTGAATTATTTATTTCATTTGGTATAGATAATAATCATACAAATGAGTAATTCCATAGATTGCCATAAGGTCTCATTTGTTCAGTAAACTTGACCACTAGAATTCTATTCGTTTAGTAGAAGAATACCACCTGAGTGCAGTTGCTGGCATTTTTTAAATGTGGTCAGAGAAAGTCTCCGAAAAAGTGCCCTCTAAGCCGAGCCCTGAACCAAAGGGTCGAGGTTCGATTCCCAGTCAGGGCACATGCCTGGGTTGCAGGCCAGGTCCCCAGCAGGGGGCACGTGAGAGGCAACCACACATTGATGTTTCTCTCCCTCTCTTTCTCCCTCCCTTCCCCTCTCTAAAATAAATAAAATCTTTTAAAAAATTAAAAATAAATAAATCTCTCCAATGTCTAGTTTAATAGAAGGCACGTTATTCTCATATCCGCTTCTACATTGTTGGGACCTGTTGTTTCGGTTGAAGTATATGAACAAAACCTGGTCTCACACAGATATTTAGTTGGAAAAGGGTGGAAAAGGGTTCAATTTTTAGAAAATTGTGGATATTCTTTTTTTGATACTATACCAAAACTTACCAAGAGGTACTTTCATAAAATTTAGTTGCAGTGTGGAATCCAAAGCTGTATTGATTGACTTTTCACTCTGTTGCATTAAAACCCATTGGTGTAGCTTGCACTCTGAGCACATCTTTTACTTATGCACAATTTCATAACATGATTCATTGGTCATTCAGAAAATGCTTGTTTACCGAGTTATGCCCATCTGCCAAATGTTGACACATTTTATTACACAGTTGTTAAAGATCACGTTTGTTAGTATCATCCCTAATACTACAGAAAGTCTAAGCATTGGGAAATTGCCAGGCTCACAGTAGCAGATACAGGTTTTTCAAAATTCTAGTATTTATTCAAAAGCTCAAATTTTGGCCCTGGCTGGCATAGCTCAGTGAATTGAGCACGGGCTGCAAACCAAAGTGTCGCAGGTTCAATTCCCAGTCAGGGTACATGCCTGGGTTGCAGGCCATGACCCCCAGCAACCGCACATTGATGTTTCTCTCTCTATTTCCCTCCCTTCCCTCTCTAAAATAAATAAATAAATAAATAAATAAATAATCTTAAAAAATGCTTATTAAAAAAAAGCTCAAATTTTTAAAAAAGACTTTATTTATTTTTATAGCAAGGGGAAGGGAGAGAGAAATAGAGGGAAAGAAACATTAACTGGCTTCATCTGGGGTACCCTGCAACCCAGGCTTGTGCTCTGACCAGGAATTGAACCCGCCACCTTTTGCTTTGTGGGACAACACCCAACAAACTGAGCTACACCGTGGGTCAGGGCCAAAACCTCAAGTTTAATTATTGACGGCAAATGCTGTTTTTCTTCCTTGAAGTTGACAGACCCCTTTGTTCACCTTTGAGAAAATGTCTGCCAGGTGCCTGTCTATAACCATAGGTATTTTTCTTGGTGGCTCTTTCGAGAAAAAGCGATGTTGGAGGTAATAAATCCAATGACAACTAGTACAGTTTAGTGTCACTGCCTTGACTCAGGCTAAGTTACAGTTTTGCCCACCATTGGTTTTATACCATCACTGCAACTTTTCAGGATGGGGACTGGGGTGAAGCAAGTCAGGTGCCTGGGATAAAATATTTAAGGAAACCCTCACTCTTAAGGTTGAGTTTAAGTCAACACAGTTAAAAAAGCAGCTATCCTTAATGTTGTAGCATTTGTTATGAAAAGAGTTGTTACTTTGCAGTTCCATGAACCATACTTGGAGAACTGCTGATCTAAACAAAGATCTGGTATCTGTTATTTTTTTTTTGCTTATAAACCTTCGATGACTTCTGACTAAGGATAATACCTAAACTCCTTTATATAGTTTGTAAGCTCCTTCACCAATTTCCCCATTCTATTTTCTAGTTTTATTTACAGCTCTCCCTCTCACCCCCCTACCCTGTACTATACCCTAACCACGTTGAGTGGTTTTATGATACTTCATTTGCTTAGAGTGTTCCGCCAACCTTCTTCTCATCAACAGTGATTGGTGATTCGGTGTCAGGTCAAACATCACCTTCCTTCTAAAGCCTTCCCTAATCCCCAGAGCAAAATTAATCACTTCGTGTTTTTCTCTTGGAACAAACCATATCTCTCCTATAGCACTTCATACAGTTTCAGTGGTAGTTTACATGACTCTCATGGTATGTTTAATTCTTTTAAAAAATTATTCTCAAATGCTGTGCTAGGCTCCAGAAATGAACAAAATTTTAAGAGTTCATATTTAAAAAGGAGAAACTTAAAACCAAACAGATAATCACATTATGATATGGTAAGTGCTATCATTGAATTGTGAACTGAATACTGTGAAGACAGAAATAAGGGCATTACTAGATTTAATTGTCTACTTTGTGAAGGTGGGGTTGATCCATGCCTTATTTGTCTTTGTGCTATCAGTGGCTAGCACTGTCCTTGGCGTACAGTGACTATATAATAAATGTTGGTGAGTTAAGATTTAACTGCATTTGCTTAAACTGTCTTATTTCCTCCCTTTTCTCCTTTGTTTTTTAGAATGCAAGGTATGGAGAAACCCTCTAAACCTTTTCAGAGGAGCAGAGTATAGGAGGTATTACATTTTTCTTTCTGTATAATTATGGCATTGGTTTTAGAGTAAAAGTATTATGGAAACACTTGTTTTTGTCACCATATCACAGCTCTCCTAGTTGGAGATACTGATGCATGATAAAGTAAAGTATTAGCCCAAAGTTTAGTTGACAGCATCTTGACTGCATTTACTTTTATGATCATGAGAAACATCGCTTCAAACCATACATTTGTCATACATAACAAGCATACATTTGGCCCCTGGTTTGAAAAGGCAGAAAGCCTTTCAATTTCAAATGTCAGTGTGTTCTTATGCATATGTGCTCGATTTCAAAATGTATTTGAGGATTCACTAGAAAATATGAATCTGAATGTGATTGTGAACTTCATTTATGCAACAGTACAGAATATAGTATTTTTATATTATATTTTATATTGCCATTTTCTATCTGCTCTACTGTGTCCATTTCTTTCCTGGTTTTTGCACTAAATGAGAAAACATATTTTGAAATTTATGACCAAAGACACTTTATGTTTTACCTGGAGATAGACTGTGCATGTTATTGAATTCATTGAATAAGAAACATCATGTGTCTGCTGTGTAGGGGTGCTGTGTAAATGATGGGGATGCTAAATGATTAAGTGGTCATCCCTGTGCTTAAGGACGTGATGGTGTAGGACAGTCAGTCCTGGGATGTGGAAACTAGGCTTTTATGAGAGATGCCATTAGCCTATAGTAAGGGATTCTGCAAGAGACAGGTCCTTGAATTTCTCACTGTGTTCATTATAAAGGTTTTAGGCTATTTGTTGTCATATTATGCACATCTACTTCATGAAGATTTTAAAGAGAAGTTTGTTAGTATCAGGAGCACTCAGGCTTCTTTTGAATGACTGGTCTCTGTAGAAGTCTGCATTTCACAGCGATTGCTGTCACAGTCTGAGCTGCAGTGGTAACAACTGTGTGTTCCCAGAGGGCTTGGAGTCACAGGGCAGTCACATGTTAGCCTCACCCAGACCCCACTGCATGGCCCAGTCCTTGTCTGTGCTTTACTGAGTCTTTTTTAATTTACTTCTCGTCTATATTATTGATGCTGCATGTTAGTATATTTTAACTGTTTTAAGTCATTTTGGGAATAATACAGGTTGTTAATAAATAATTTTTATAGTTTTAGAATGTGTAGCAAAACTGCTAAGTGAACAAGGATTGCTTTCTTTTTTTTTATGATAATTTCTCACAAAAATAGCTAAAATCTTTAGCAAGGCAACTCATACTATTAAAGAAGTAAATATTTTTAATCATATGTAAATAATGCAATGGACTTTTAAAGTCTTTTTTCAGATTATAAAATATATGCATATTCATTATAGAAAATGGGAAAATAAAGAGATGTATGAAAAAGAAAGTAAAAAATCACCTCTTCTTACCACTAAGTAGTAACTGCTATCAGTATTTCCATCTAGTCTCACTTCCATATGCATATATAGAAACAAAACTTGAACATCAGAATATGTGGATTTCTCACAGAATTTCTTCAAAACATAAATTTATTTAAAAACATGATTTTCAGTGGTTGTATTTATGGTATGCTTCCCTATCTGGGTCACAGATTTTATTTCACTGTTAACATTTACACTAGAGTGATGTCTTTATATAAAAATATTTAGCCACATATATGATTATTTCCTTAGGTTTGATTTGTTGCACTGGGATTACTGAATCGAGAGGTGTGGATGGTTTTTTTTCCTTTCCCTTTCATCTTCTTTGATTATGGAAAATTTGAAAACTAATAGTAGAGAGAATGGTATAATATAATATCATATACACTTCCTCTAGCTAGGTGTGAATATTTTTAAGACTTTTTTAAAACAAGATTTTATAGCCCTGGTTGGCATAGCTCAGTGGATTGAGCACGGGCTGCGAACCAGTGTTGCAGGTTCGATTCCCAGTCAGGGTACATGCCTGGGTTGCAGGCTGTGACCCCCAGCAACCGCACACTGATGTTTCTCTCTCTCTCTCTCTCTTTCTATCTCCCTCCCTTCCCTCTCTAAAAATAAAAATAAATAAAATCTTAAAAATATATTTTATTTATTTACTTATGGAGAGAAGGGGAGGGAGGGAGAAAGAAAGGGAGAGGAACATCAATGTGTGAGAGATACATTGATTGGTTGCCTCTGGGAAACGCCCAACTGGGGACCTGGCCCACAACCCAGGCATGTGCCCTGACCAGGAATGGAACTGGGTCACCACCTTTTGGTTCTCAGGCTGGTGCTCAATCCACTGAGCCACACCAGCCAGGGCAAAGACTCTTGGTAGATATTATCTAATTGGCTCTTGGAACCAAAATGTAAATGCTAAGTTACATTTATACCAGCAGTATGTGTGAGGCCATATTCCACCTGACAATGTATGTATATTTACCAATTTGATAGATGAAAAGTAAAAATTTATTTAATGTTTTATTTGTTAATTACTAATGAGATTACATGGTTTTTTAAAACCTTTTTTTTTAATTTTTTTTAAGATTTCATTTATTTATTTTTAGAGAGGGAAGGAAGGAAGAGAGAGAGGGAGAGAGAAACATCAATGTGCGGTTGCTGGGGGTCATGACCTGCAACCCAGGCATGTACCCTGACTGGGAATCGAACCTGCAACACTTTGGTTTACAGCCCGTGCTCAATCCACTGAGCTACGCCAGCCAGGGCTGAGATTACATGTTTAAAAAATGTATTTACGAGCCAGTCTGTTCACTTGCTATTATCATTGTGGGTTTTGGGAAATGAAAGTTTAAATTTCTAATTTGGTAACATCTGAAAAAAGTTCCTCTTCACTTTTTTGTTTTGAAAGCCCTTTACCAACTTGACATCTAGTAAAAATCTACCCATGTTTTCTCCTTTCTTTGTAGTTTTACTTTTTATACTTAATTCTAGCCCACTGAGAGTTTATTGAAGTATATTTAATAAGATATATATCTAAGCCAAATTGTTTTATCCCTTCAAGTCCATTTTTGAAGAAGTGTTTGTTGAATAATCTAGCATTTTCCTTTTTGAGTTTTTGTGTTTTATTATACTCTAAGTAGTTGCTATAGGTTATCTCTTCTGTTTTTCTGATTATAACAAGCTTTAAAAAAACATCCTGAAATAGAATTTTTAGCAGTGTATTTTTTAATTTTAAAGTGTCTATTATAGCAAATTGATGTTCTCTCATGTTCAATTTATATATTTTCTTGTGTTTTGGCAAAGATACACTTGGGTGACTGGTAAAGAGCCTCTGACCTACTATGACATGAATTTGTCAGCTCAGGACCATCAGACCTTTTTCACCTGCGACACTGACTTTTTACGTCCTTCAGACACAGGTACGCATCCTCTCTGACCACGGGGTAGACATGGAGTTGTTTGATAAGAAACCCAGATTGAATTGAAACTAATTATGATCTTGAACTGGGCTCTTACACTACCTTTCCTTCTTACAAAGAATTTAAAGTGTTTTATTAAAATATTGCTTTTACTATTACTTTAAACAAATCTTTCAGATCAAATACAGCAACTACTTATGCAGAGAAAAATGTACCCAGTTTTGATATGAGAAATTAACACCTGCAAAAAGAAAAAAGAGTAAGACAAAGTGTAAACACGGGGACAAGGCATGTAGAGAAAAACAGGACACAATTTTATTCTAATCATTAGGTAAAAATGCATCTAAAGTGGTGAAATACCATAGAAATGTCTGTTTAATTCTCTGTAAGCTCTTCTGAGAAAGAGTATTGAGACTCTTAAATGGACAACTTAAAGACAGACTTCTTTATCACAACCAGCCTTCTACTTTGAATGCCTTCTTCTTTCATATCTATCCTTCCGTTTCTGTCCTTCAGGATCCAAATTAAAAGTTGCATTCTCTAGGAAGCCTTCTCTGAGATCTCCTTTCTTCTCTGTAGCTCTACAGTACTTAGTCCAAACCTCAATGATACAATTTTCAACCACAAACATTTATTTATTATAATGTTATCATGTTGCTTTAATGTTTCTCCTTCCTAACAGGGTGTGAAACTTTGGAAAGCAGGTACTATATTCTCATCATCTTTGAATCCCTATCATGCAGTACAGTACCTGCATTCTGTAATTATTAATATTTATTCTCTGATGAAAGTATGAATGAATGAGCGGTGTTGGTGTCACAGATGTCTTCAGCAATGTCACTAAGAAGAGTTAACACTTAACACAAAATAAGTAGAGCACTTATTATGTACCAAGCACTGTTCTAAGCAATTTATATAAATATATTAATTTTATCTTCCCAATCACTTTTTGAGGTAGGTACTATTATAAGCCTCATTTTAAAAATAAAGAAACACGGGCAAAGGGGAATCAAGTAACATGCCTAAGTCATCTAGCTATTAAATGATAGTGCTGGGTTTCAAACTCAAGTCTGGCTGTTAACCACTACGTTACTGCCACATTGCCACAGTTACTCACTGCATCAGTAGGCAGAAGAAAATCACCAATAATAAGGGTCTGAAAAATAGCCAGTTTTCTAGCATTTACGTGAGTTCATTATGATATCTCTTTGCTGGTTAAATATACTAAAGGTGGGTGGTAGCAAGAAACCCAAGGATGTTTGATATGGTTACATTAAATGATTTAATTGTAAATAGGAGAAAAAGGAATTGCTTTATGTTTATATGCTTAATGTTTATATTAATGGTGAAAGTGTAGGTGTTGGGGAAATAGCAGTGAAAAATCAGTTTTGTATGTGAACTTTAAGGACTGAAGTGACTCTGGAAATTGAGGCTTCACCTCCTCACGGGCAGAATTGCAGATATTGGGGACTTCTAGATAGTAACCATAGCTATTCACTAAAGCTGTGGTCTTAAAACATTTGTATTCATATACCTTCTAAGAGAAGTTTGAAAAACTATGTATCCCTTCATATATTTTTAAGTTGATATCATGAGGTTAAATAATTCCAAAGAATATGGGTTTTGATATATTAGAAATATAGACATCTAAAAATAAAGCTAGGCCGTGGCCTTTGTGGCTTAGTTGGTTGGAGCGTCATCCTGCAAAACAAAAGGTCACGAGTTTGATTCCCAGTCAGGGCACATGTCTGGGTTGCAAGTTTGGTCCCTGGTTGGGGCTTATACGGGAGGCAACCGATTGATGTTTTCTCTCACATCAGTGTTTCTCTGTCTCTTCCTTCCCCTCTCTCTAAAAAATTAACAAGTGTGTCCTTGGGTGATTAAATAAATAAATAAATAAATAAATAAATAAATAACTAGAATACCATATATTTAATTGTATTTCAAAGAATGTAATGACTTGATATATACCACTATGCATTGAAAAATAAATGAACAGATACTCTTTAACAGTAAATTTTGTATGTCCTTTTTATTCTGGAATTTATATCCATCCCATACTTCATATGATTTTAATATAATTATTTAGGTTTGAGAGTCTTATCACATGTATGTGCTTTGCCACAACAAAATTTTTTGTGTAAATTTTTAGAAATTTCAATTTCCTTTGACCATGATGTTCTAAATGGTATCATGTACTTGAATTATATTTTTGTCAAATCGTTTGAGCTACGTATTTGGTTCTTTCAACTTTGGAAAGTGTCCTCCAGACAGCCTGATTGGCTGGGTGAGTTCTCATGGTCAATCCTATTAACCAAGTCAGACTTACTTTCTGATGAAGTCAGACTTTGTTTTTCAGTTCCTGTGAACATGCCCTCCCATGACAGCTGTCTCTCTTCTGAATTTAATTGTAAGATAGAAAGATAGTCTTGTAGCTTTGCCTAGAGGTTATCTCTTAGCTAAAATAAAATTCCAAAAAAAGGGCTTCTGTTGTAAGTGGCACCTTTAGGGCAATGTGATTGCTCTACATGCAGAATTGACATCAAGAGATTTCAGAAGCATAATTTTTTGGTACCTGGGCAGCTAGTGATCCTTGGTCCTGGCACCTGCCAAAAAAAAAAATTCCACTGCCTTTATTTAATTTTTTACTAATGTCCTTTTTGCCTTACTGTGAGGGGACATTCCTGTATGAACAATGCACTCTTTGATAGTAGGGAGAGAAGGATGTGATAAATGGAAATGAAAAGAATTATCACTCCTTCCCCACTCTACAGTAAACCTGAATTAAGTGCATCCAAGGGCCAGAGTATTTTTTTTTAAGTAAATGTGAAATCTCACTGTGTTACACACCTGAAACTAATATTGTATGTCAATTGTACTTTAATTTATTTTAAAAAATATTTTATTTATTTATTTTTAGAGAGAGGAGAAGAAAAGGAGAGAGAGAGGGAAACATCAGTGTGTGGTTGCCTTTCATGTGCCCACCACTGGGGACCTGGCCCACAACCCAAGCATGTGCCCTGACTGGGAATCGAACCGGCGACTGTTTGATTCACAGGCCCTCGCTCAGTCCACTGAGTTACACACCAGCCAGGGCAGGCCAGAGTATTCTAATTCTAAAGCAGAGCATCACGGTTAAAAGAAACAAGTGAGGGGTGGAATCTCTATTATAGTTTACTTCATTTAAAATGGCAGTTCTCAAACTTGAATTTTGAATTGTCCCTTTGGCACCTGGAGATTTTTAATTTTTACCCTGTAGAGCAGTGTACCTTGGAAAGATTCAGGGTGGGTGAAAAGTCTTCCTTTTGTATAGTAGGAGAAAGAACTACGTCTTTTGGGGTATGGGAGAGCGGATGTTGGAAAGAATGGAAAACCTGCGTGATGCATAGACCAATCAGAGAAACATTCTTCTGGTAGATCAGTTATAGGAAAGAGTCATATAAAATTGAGGCTTTAGAAATTGATTCTTTTAAAACCATGCATCCCATTTTGGTCCTTGCAAAGGTTCATGTACACAAAATCCCAGCTAAAGACTGAACTCAAGGACAGACTTTCTCTGGGAATGATAATCCAGAAATGGACTGTTGGTTCCATATTGATCTTTTCAGACACTCACATGAAAGTAATGATTTATAGCTGTAGATTTAGATTCAGAAAAGACAGGTGTGTATCTGTGTGATATGACAAATTTCTTTTGACTATTGTCATCAGGAATTAGTATATTAGTAGATTTTGTGTTAGTGTCTTTTCTGCTTGTTAGCATGTTGGATATTATTTAACTTGGAAAATAAATAAATTTGGTTGAATTGCTAACTGTTTGTGTTATTTTTTAAGCATATCAAGAGCTCTTAAAGCATACAGTTGAATATTAAATCAGCATTTTGCTTTAGATTATTTCTACACCTTTTTTTAGAAGGAAATATATATTTTCTTCCTTTAATTCATTTCCCCTTTGACTTAGAGCTGCACTGGTTATGAGGAATAATGTTGAAAAACTGCATAGAGCAGTTGAAAATGAAAGAATGAGAAAAAATGCTTAAAGGTGGATTCGAAGACCTTACTGGAAATAAAAGAAATGCAAATGCAAATGAATAGTTTTTATGTATTAACAAAGATTGATATTATTCAGTGTTGGTAAGGAAGTAGGGAAATTGTCACTCTCCTATACTGCCTGAAATAAAGTAAATTAATGCAATTTTATTGAGAGGAGTACACATTCAAAATCATTTAAAAGATGCATACATTTTAAACAACATTCTACTTCTTGGTTGGGTATACAAAGATAGTTGTTAAATTGTGTTTATCACAGTATTTCTATTTAGCAAAAAATTGGTGTAACTTAATTATCAAAAGACAATGGGTTAATTAAATTATAATATACCCTTAATATACTAGAATACCAAACCATTTAAAATGTTGGTAAAGATTCAGTGTCAAAATTTGACTTGTGAATATCATGTAACTTATAGAAGAGAGCCCATCATCAAAAATGACATCTAATGTTATACTTAATTTTATGTTATATTTTAATGTTTCAGCAAAATGCTATTCTTTACCTGGTTCTTATCAGATGGGTGCTGATGTATATCAGTTTGTTAAGTTCAGGAAGCATTAGCTGTCAGCTAACTGGTGACATGTTTGATTTTAGAAATGTATTTTTGTTATACAAATAGAATATATTGTCTCATTTTCTAAGCCAAGACTAATATTTTGTTTCCAAAGGAAAACTCAAACATTTTCCATATTATTCTTTCTGGACAGTTGTAGGTTTTATTCCAAAAGCAACATTTATAGATTCTCTATTTTTCTTATCAAACCTGAAACAGGCCAGATAGTTTCATGAATCTACATTATTTAATTTTTAAGAAACTTTACTTAGTGTGAAATTTTGTTCAATACTGTAAAAGGTAGCAAAATGAATATTGTTCTTTTAGATTCTAATTCGGGCCTTTGATAGAGACTGGCATTTTCCATAAATGTACTATATTCTAAATTAATCCCCCATTCTGCCTTTAATACAAAATATAAATCCAAACATTCTTCCTGGATTGAATCATTGCTTAGACAAAGTCTTTGTTTTTAAGTGTTTTATATATTTCTAGAAGTCCCAAAGAACCTTTTCAAAATGATAAAGAACTGGAATTTTATATTGATTATAATCTGATGTCACTTGAACTCAATTTTAATATGCATTTAGATGTGTAAATATTCATGTTTAATAATGATTAATTAATTTGATTAAGTACTTTATGCATTTAAAAATTATTTATTTATTTTTTATTTTTAGACAGGGGAAGGGAGGTGGAAAGAGAGGGAGAGAAACATCAATGTGTGGTTGCCTTTCACAAGTCTCCTACTGGGGACCTGGCCCACAACCCAGGCATGTGCCCTGACTGGGAATCAAACCAGTGACCCTTTGGTTTGCAGGCCTGCGCGCAGTCGACTTAGCCACACCAGTCAGGGCCTTATGCATTGTAATTTAAATACAACAGAAAAACCATATATTTTTATGGTTTCCAAACATGTGAAGTTTCCAAATTTAATGTACATTTCTCATAAGGTTAATGTGAGCTAGCACTCCAATTTCTTGTTTTTTACATTTAAGTACATGTTATTTAAGTCTTTGTTTGCTCTCCTAGCTCATTCTTCATATGTTTTGCATAAGGTTATTTATGTTTACCATCTCATCTACTTTTTTAAATATTTTTCCTACAGTTATGCAGAAGGCATGGAGGGAAAGAAATCCTCCAGCTCGAATCAAAGCAGCCTATCAAGCTTTAGAATTAAACAATGAGTAAGTTTGAAATATATAGAAAATAAGTTTGTTTTGAAGGAAACCTAGGCAAATGATTTAATGTTTCCTTTTGTCTGTTCCTAAGACACTTGGAGTCATTAGCAGTCTCCTTTCTCTTTTTTCATACTAGAGACAATATTTGCAGTATTCACTAATATATGTATTTGCTTCTGAAATTGTCAATTGATCTATGCTTTTAAATAGAAATTATGCTAGATATACTTTTTAGCATGAAGAGTGCTGATCTAATTGGTGATAATACTTGACAGTTAAAAAAATACTAAAATACTATGTCACCTGTTTTAATTTTGTTTTTCATTAAAATCATTCATTTAAAGCATTCATTCAGCCCTGAAAACTTCAGTTGTTAATGGGATTAGAGGTATGAGTTGAGATTTAAAATAATAAAATGTAGTTCTAACTAATTTTTTCATGTTAACAGCATTTATTTTTATAGGTCTTTGTATCAACTTTATGTTTTAAAAAGACAAAATGTTAAATCATAAGTCAACTTAATATTTAAATGGGACAGATCAGTAAGTATTAATCTAATACTAAATAAATGTCAAGAGTAAAAATATGGCCCTAACTGGAATTAATGAAGGTATGCTTCCTGAATAATGTATATTTAGTGTCGTCCCCTATATGCCTGCTTCTTCCCTGTCCCCCCAGACATAGTATCCTTATTAAGAAGACCATCCCAAGGTGGAACAAAAAATGGCAGTGTAGGGAATTCCAAAAGTAGTAAATCAACTTTATTGAAACTCTGGAAACTAATCAAAAGCTTATAGCAACCTAAAATGTCTGGTAGCTCAAGGGACTTGCCTTTAGGTTAAATCTTGACTCTCTCAGCACTGACACAGCAACACTGGGAGGGGGGGCAATTGTTACAACATTTAAAGGCAAATACTTCTGCCTGGGGCAAGGGATAAAAGTCAGGGCAAACAATAAACAAATCAGAAAGCTTTGGAGGAAAGGCTGCTGAATGAGATACTTTGGGAAATAAAGGTTTTGAAAATCTCCCCCAGGTACCTGGAAATCTCAAAGTTTACATTTATTTTTAGAGAGAGGGAAAGAGAGGGAGAGAAACATTAGTGTGTGGTTGCCTCTTGTGCATCTCCTACTGAGGACCTGGCCTGCAACCCAGGCATGTGCTCTGACTGGGAATTGAACTGGTGACCCTTTCTTTCACAGGCCGGCACTCAATCCACTGAGCTACACCAGGCAGGGCTGCAGTTCTTTTTTTTCTATATGACTTAAAAGACGGCATGTAAACTATAATTACAAGTCTATGTTGATGAACATAGAGTTTATAAAGATGTAACCTATGACTATAACAACATAAAGGGCATGGGAAGAGCTATATAGGAGCAAAGTTTTATATAATATTAAAACTAAATTGGCATTAATTTAAACTAGATTTTCTAACTATTAACCACTTAGGAAATAACCAAAAACATATGGTTAAAGAAATAAGAAGGAAATAAAAATGGTGTACTAGAAAATATCTAACACACACACAAAAGGCAGAATACAGGAAATGAGGGGGGGAAAGGACATAGAAAACAAATAGGAAAATGGCAGAAACAAGTTCTTTCTTATTATTAATTACTTAAATGTAAACATGCTCAAACTTATAAGATATAGCAAAACAGTGCTCAGAGGAAAATTTATATTTGTAAACACCTACATTAATAAAAATGAAAGTTCTCAAATCAATAATTTAACTTTATACCTTAAAGAAATAGAAAATGAAGAGCCAACTAAACTCCAAGCAAAAGGAAGGAAGTAATAAAGATTAGTGTGAGATAAACAAAATAGAAAATAGAAAAACAATAGAGGGAATTGGTGAAACCAAAGGTTGGTTTTTTTAAAAGATCAACAAAATTGACAAACTTTTAGCTAGACTAATTAAAAAGAAAAGACAGAATACTAAAATCAAGAATGAAATTGTGGACTTTACTACTGACCTTACAGAAATTTGAAAGACTACAAGAGAATGCTGTGAACAGTTGTATGCCAACAAATTAGATAGCTTGGATGAAATGAACAAATTCCTAGAAATGCACAAACTACCCATACTGACTCAAGGACTACAAAATATGAATAGACCTATAATGAGTGAAGAGAGTGAGTAATTTTAAAACTTTCAAAGAAAGCTCACAACTAGATTACTTCACTAGTGAATTGTGTCAAACCCTTAAAGAATTAATACCAGTCCTCTCAAACTCTTCAAAGAAATAGAACAGGACATAAATCTTCCTAACTCATTCTTTTAAAAAAAGTTTTTAAAACATTTTTTATTTTTAAATTACAGTTGATATGCAGTATTAGTTTTAGGTGTGTTGCCCTGTGATTAGACAATTTTGTAACTTACAAAATGATTACCCTGATAAATTTAGTACCCATCTGGCACCATATATAGTTATTACAATATTATTGACAAATTCCCCATGTTGTACTTTACATTCTCGTGACTATTCTGTGACCACCAATTTGTGCTTCTTAATCCCTTCACTTTTTTCACCCATCCCCCAAACCCACTTCTATCTGGCATCTGTCAAAATATTCTCTCTATCTATGAGTCTGTTTCTGTTCTGCTTGTTCATTTATTTTGTTTTTTCGGTTCCACATATAAGTGAAATCCCTAACTCATTCTATGAGGCCAGTATTCCCTTCGTACCAAGACCAGACAAAGATATCACAAGAAACAAAAACTACAGACTAATATTTGTTATGAATACAGATGCAAAAATCCTCAACAAAATGCTAGTACATCAAATTCAGAAGCATATTAAAAAAATTATATACCACGAATGAGTGGGATTTATCTCAGGAAAGTAAGGTGGATTAACATATGAGAAATCAGTCAATGTCTGCCACCACATGAATAGAACAAAGGACAAAACCACACGATCATCTCTTGATGCAGAAAAGAGTTTTGAAGAAATCCAACACCATTTTATGATAAAAACACTAAAAAAGCACAAGGAATAGAAGGAAATGTCTTCAAACTAATAAAAGACCTGTGAAAAACCCATAGCTAACTACATTTTTAATGATAAAAGACTGAACGCTGTTCATCTAAAATCAAGAATAAGGCAAGAATGTTTGCCTTTGCACTGCAGGGGCAGGCCAGCGCAACTAGGCAAGAAGAAACTGGGAAAATGGCTTCCAAATTGGAAAAGAAGTAAAACTATCTTATTCACAGATGATATAATCTTAACATGTAGAATATGTTAAAGAATCCACACACACACACAACTATTAGAGCTTTTAAATGAGTTCAACAAAGTTGCAGGAGGTGAGATCACATAAAATTAAATTGTATTTCTATACACTTAGCAATGAACTATCTGAAAAGGAAATGAAAACAATTCCACTTAAAATAACATAAAAAAATACTAAAATACCGAAGAATAAATTTAACCAAGGGGGTGAAAAACTTCTACACTGAAAACTACAAAGTATTGTTGAAAGAAGTTAAAGGAGATCTAAATAAATGGAAGGACATTCCTTCCATGTTCATAGATTGAAAACTTTCTATTGTTAAAATGGCAGTACTCCTCAAGTTGATCTATAAATTCAGTGTGACCTTTATCAAAATTTTAATAGCTATTTTTGCAGAAAGGACAAACTGATCCTAAAATTCATATGGAATTACAAGAGACCTCAAATAGCCAAAACAGTCTTGTAAAAGAAGAACAAAGAGGACTCGCTTCTTGATTTCAAAATTTATTATGAAACTACTTTAAATCATTAGAATACACAGCTAGATTAACTTAATACTATATAATATAATGAAGACATTTCTGTTGATTAGGGAAATTATTATATACTTCAAATTGGAGTATTAGTTGAAGGATGCTGAAATGGTATGATTTGCATTTTCTACATCTGAAAAACCTGTCTTGTTCTCAAATTTGATTGCTATCTCTCCATTACTTTTGTTCTGTGGCCACTTTGTTCTTTTACCAATAATTTCTCCCCTGTTGTAATGCAAACCACATATGTAACTTTAAATTTTCTCGTAGCCACATTTAACAAGTGAAAAGAAACAGGTGAAATTAATTTGAGTAATATATTTTATTTAGCTCTATTCAAAATATTAAAATACTTTAACATATATTCAATCTTAAAAGTAAACTGTTAATGAAGTATTTTACATTCTTCTAAGTCTTCAAAATTCAGTGTGCATTTTCCACTGACCATACTCCGACTGGTGTACATCTCATTTTGGACCAGACACATTCCAACTGCTCAATGAGTACATGTGGCCAGTGACCACAATACTGGACAACCTGGGCTTAGATCATCAGAACTAGGACATTGTCTCCAGAAGAGTTATTTCTGGGAGTACAAAGGAAACTTTCTGTTTCTATTTTCTTGCCCTCAAACAAGTTAGTTTATCTTATTAGCCAGCTTTTGACCTAAAGGACGTGACGAGAAATCTGTGTTGCAGTGGGGTGAAGAAAAGGAAACTGGAAGTCAGCATGGGTGTGACAGCTGAGAGCAGGCGTGTAGGAGGGGAGACTCCACTGCAGGCCAGGCCACGTTCAGTTGCAGTGCTGTTGTGGTTCAGGCCTCGAGGGCACGGGGCAGCCTGAAGAGGGAATCTGCAGTGCAGGGGAAGAGGTCTAGTACTGCAATGTGATTCCGAGTCAAACAGTAAAGGTGCCTCGTTAGCCATGAGACTTTCTTCCTAATTGCCACCCTCTCCTACACCTCTCTATCCATGAGACAGATGTTAAAAAGTATATAGTGACTGAGAGCAGGCATGACCACTAGAGTGCATAGTCCTTTCCAACTACTTTTCAGATAATTCTTTATACACATGTATCTTTTCTTTCCTCTCTCTGCCACAAAAGGAAAATATGAGACAAAGGATCAGAGAATGGAAAGTAAAGAGAGGAGAATGAAGATAGGAAAGGAGAAAAATTGTGGAAACAAGACATAAAGAATATACCAATATGTCCCTAATAAATTAAAATATTGAGTGAAGTTGTTTTTATTCTTTGAGAGACGGAAAGTGTAGGGAAAGCTAGGGAACTGTGATATAGAGCAATGGGACATACTGAAGAGAAAATAATTGCCTTGCTGTATTACTTAAAATTGTCTTGCTTGCTTTCTTCATAGCTGTGCCACTGCTTACGTGCTACTGGCTGAGGAAGAAGCAACAACGATTGTGGATGCCGAAAGGCTGTTCAGACAGGCGCTCAAGGCAGGAGAGACTATTTACAGGCGGTCACAGCAGTGCCAGCACCAAAGTCCTCAGCATGAAGCCCAAATGAGTAAGCAAATTGGAACTGGTTGTTGCAGTCCCTGGAAGGTCCAGGGAACTGGACCTTCCAGTCCCTGCAGATGGCTCTTTTATGTTTAAAACACAAAACAACAAAACAACAATAATAAACTTAATACTTAAGGTTAGCTTCTTTTCCTGAGAGATAATTAATCTAGTCATAATATCTATAAGCCAACAATACAGAAATATGCATTAGTTAGAGAATGCTTATAGAACAGATCTGCTCTGGTTGTTGAGAGATGTGCTGCTCTAAGACTTGATAGTAATTTATTTCATGTGAGAATTGGGCTGGTCATTGGAGAAGCACAACTCAGGAAGAGCCACGAGAGCCTTCCCGTAATGATAACCGGCTATTAACCTTCGTCCTCAGCCTAACCCCAAACAATAGTAGGGGAGCGTCATCTGGTTAGCTCTTCAAGCTGTGTGTATCTCCATGCAGTGCCAGGAGTGGCCCCTTTAGCACAAAACCCAACCTGGTACTTGGCATGGATTCATTCTTTGGTTGATTTTCTTCTGGTGTGTTTGAGATCATATGGGCCGTAGCAACTGAGGCCCTTTCTTTCCATTCATAGGGATATTCTCCCAGTTACGGTTCAAGCACTTTTACCAAATATGTTAGAATCTGTAGTACTGCTGCTTCCTGTGATTTTTTTGTAGCCAGAGAGTTTTAGTTTCATGATTTTGGCAGATAGTGGGCAGTAAATTGAAATATGTTTATATAATACATTATTTGCTAGCAGTTAAGTTCTAAATCTTTTATTTGTGGAAATTAAAATTTGCGTAGTTTCCTCTCTAAACTAAATATTGATATATACAGATTGTTTCATTAATGTATGATGTTATAACACACAATCGTGGGAATATATAATTTTACAGCCTGGAACTAACAAAACTGCATCTGTAAAAAAGTTATGCCATTTGTCCTTGTATAATCTCAAACATGGTTATAAGATAGTTATAGAAATATTTGTTAGCTTTTTCTATATTTATTAGTTCTAGCTATTGAGCAAAAGTTTGCACTACCCATGGAAATTTTGTTTTGGAAATCTTTTGTCATTAAAACAATAGAGAATATTAAAATAGTATATTGTTTATGCAGAAACTTAAAATGATAGGTTAGTGTTTTTTCTTCCTGTTAATGTATGTTTCTTTTATGTTAATATTAAAATGCATTTATCAGGTATACACTGATTACTTTGTATCTTTACTATTCTCACATCACTTATTATTAGAGGTAAAAGTAATTCCGTGTGTGTGTGTGTGTGTGTGTGTGTGTGTGTGTGTACTTTTAATATAAAAAAACTTCAGCCCTGGCTGGCGTAGCTCAGTGGATTGAGTGCGGGCTGCGAACCAAAGCATCGCAGGTTCAATTCCCAGTCAGTCCACATACCTGGGTTGCAGGCCACGGCCCCCAGCAACTACACATTAATGTTTCTCTCTCTCTTTCTCCCTCCCTTCCCTCTCTAAAAATAAATAAATAAAATCTTTTAAAAAAAAAAGCAACTTCAAACATATACACAAATAGAGCAATATAATGAATGCCTGTTCAATGTTCCTCACTCAGATACAACAATAATTAATACTTTATCATTCTGACACAATTTAATTCACAATCCAGCTCTCAGTCCACTGAGCCACACCAACCAGGCTGACACAATTTAATTTTAATTAAACCTTCTAGAGTAAGCATAAAATTAATGGATATGTTAATAGCAAATCATAATACGAAAATGATAGCTGTGTCATTTTTTTTAAATAGGGAGAGATACTAATGTACTGGTATACATTAAAAGAAGATTGGCAATGTGTGCAAGAAAATTAGGAAGAATAAGAGAAGCAGTAAAAATAATGAGAGATGTAAGTGAATTTGATGACTGGACCTTCATATTCTTCAAAAAACTTAAAATGTGGTTTGAGTTGCCAATTATTTTAATGTAAAATCACTTTTTTAACTGCTGGTCTTTATGAAAAGATATGTATTTAATATGCATACATTTGTTAAGGGTTGAGTCTCCACAGTTTTATTAAGAAAAAAAGAATTTCTACTTTAATAAATTTGATTCAGCTCTATTGAGTTTCTGTGTTATGATTTTAATTTCTTTTTCCTTTTAATATACAGTTGATGAAAGAATTTCCTCCTTTTACCATGTTGAACATCCATGAAAATCTCCTAGAATCACTTTTAGAGTTACAGGCCTATGCAGATGTTCAGGCAGTCTTAGCAAAATATGATGGTAAGTGATATCATCTTAGTTGATAGCATGGTTAAAGTATTTTTTAAATTATATAATTATAAGTGTGATCCTATTCTAGTATTTCTGTGATTTTCTCTTACCATTTTTACCAGTCAATATTTGGAATCCATTGGTACAGATTGCTGTTAAGAGTCTTCTAAGGGATGCAAAAGGGATTAAAACCACAATGACCCTGGCTGGTGTAGCTCAGTGGATTGAGCACGGGTCTATGAACCAAAGAGTCACTGGTTCGATACCCACTCAGGACACATGCCTGGGCTGCAGGCCAGGTCCCCAACTGGGGGCCTGTAAGAGGCAACCACACATTGATGTTTCTCTCCTTCTCTTTCTCCTTCCCTTCCTCTTTCTCTAAAAAATAAACAAAAAACCCACAATGAGATACCACCTCACATCTGTCAAAATGGCTATCATCAACAAATCAACAAGCAAAAAGTGTTAGTGAGGATGTGGAGAAAAGGGAACCCTTCTGCACTGTTGGTGGGAATGCAGATTGCTGCAGCCGCTGTGGAAAACAGTATGGTAGTTCCTCAAAAAATTAAAAATGGGAATTCCTTATGACCCAGGGATTCTAATTTTGGGTATATATCCAATTTGGGTATATATATTCAAATTGTATGAAATCAAAATACAATTTGAAAGAATATATGCATCCCTGTATATTCATTGCAGCATTATTTACAATAGCCAAGATATGGAAGCAATCCAAGTTCTGATCAATAGATTAGTGGATAAAAAAGCTGTGGTACCGGGCTGTGAACCAAAGCATCGCAGGTTTGATTCCCAGTCAGGGCACATGCCTGGGTTGCAGGCCACAGCACCTAGTAACCGCACATTGATGTTTCTCTCTCTCTCTCTCTCTCTCTCTTTCTCCCTCCCTTCCCTCTCTAAAAATAAATAAATAAAATCTTTTTAAAAATTCATGATATATTTTTTTTAAAAAGCTGTGGTACAGACAAGTATATACAATGGACTATTATTCAACCCTAAAAAAGATTGAAATCTTGCCATTTGCGACAGTACAGATGGAACTAGATGGTATTATGTTAAGAGAAGTCAGTCAGAAAAGACAAATACCATATGATTTCCCTTATATGTGGAATCTAAGGAACAATAAATCAACAAAATTGAAACAGACTCATAGATATACAAAACAGACTGATGGTTTGTCCATCTGAGGGGAAGGAGGTTGGGGGATTGGGTGAAAAAGATGAAGGGATTCCAAGTACAAGTCAGGCCCTGGCTGGTATGGCTCAATGCATTGAGCACCGGCCTGAGAACCAAAGGGCTGCCGGCTCGATTCCCAATTAGAGCACATGCCTGAGTTGTGGGCCAGGTCTCCCACTGGGGACATGCGAGAGGCAACTGATCAACATTTCTTCCCTTTTTTCCCCCTCTCTCTAAAAATAAATAAATAAAATCTTTAAAAAAAAGTACGAATTGGTACTACTGCACAAAATGCTCATGAGGATATAAAGTACAGCAGAGGAAATATAGTCAATTAAATTGTAATAACTGTGTATGGTGGCAAATGTGTATTGGAAGTATTGGGGGAAACACTTTGTAAAGTATGTGATTGTCTAACCACTATGCTGAAACTAATACAAAAATTTTTTAAAAAGAAGCTTCTGAATCTCTTGAAAATATCTTAGTAAGTGAAATAAGATGGAAAAAATCAAGAACCATATGATTTTACTCATATGTGGGATATAAAACTGAAAGTAACAAATGAACAAACAAGACAAACATACAAAAATCATAGACACGGACAATACTGTGGTGGTTGCCAGGAGGAAAGGGGAATGGAGGGAGGTAGTAAAGGATAAAGAGGATCAAATACATGGTGATGGAAGGGGGTTTGACTTGTGGTAAACACACAGAGTAATATACGTATGATGTATCGTAGAGTTGTACACTTGAAACCTATATCATTTTATTAACCACTGTCACTCCAATGAATTTACTAAATAATTTTTTAAAAGAATCTTCATCATCAGGAATTTTGGAAGCGAAAGCCTGCAAGGAGGAACTTCTCTTCTGTCAGGATTTGTTTATTGAGCGCCTGATATGAGTGAGGCACTTGGCACACAGTGTGAACAAAAAGACATGGACTTAGCTCTCTTAGAATCTGCAGTTCAGTGGAGCAGACACACAGATGAATAGAAGTTGTACTGAAGCATGCTGTGTTAGGGGAGATAATGGGAAAAGCATGGCATGCTGTGCATGTAGGATGGTACCTCGTTTGTTTTGGAGTGTCAGGGAAGGCTAACAGAAGTTGCTTAGCAGATGTATAAGAGTAATTCAGAATAACATTTTTACAATGCTTTTGAGTTACAAAGTATAATTTATCTAGTCTGATATTTACAATAATCATGTGAGCCGTAGGACAAGTATTTTTACTATCTCCAGTTAGTAAATAAGGAAACTGGAGTTGAAGAAGGGTAAGTAAGTGGGTAAGGTCTTCCAGCCAGGAAGTGGCAAGCTTGAACTTAAATTCAGGTATCCATTTCTTTGTTTACCAGTCTTCCAATAGTAAGAAGTCAATATATTGGCTATTTTTATTATTATGCTATAACAGGGCAAATTTAACACAGAGAGTTGAGAGAATTTTTATGAGACAGCCTTTCTCCTCATTCTGAGAGGTCAGCTATTAAACTCAAGCTGCAGTTCTAACTGGTGTGATGTTTCTGATGGTATCTTCACTCTAAGAGAATGTATCAGTCATTTATTTACACTTGTCCATTTGTAAGTTTCTACACATTAGCTTGGGAATCCCCATGACTAGGAAGGTTTGAAATGTGTTACACTTGGAAAGAGAAGTTTATTTCTTTTAAACATCTGGAATTCTTAGGAAATGATTCAGAATAGTGTGGGATCATGGAGAAATTTATGAAAAATCCTTTCCATATGTAACTTATCAGATGTGAGGCCTGCTTATGATACTTATGATGAACAAGCTTAGGAACCAAATATAAAACATCAGATAGGACCTGATTCATTAAAAATAAAATTAAACTAACAACTTTGATATGCTTCTCAGCGTTTTCAGTTACTTTTATGGGTCCCCAGTTTTTACCATTCTGGAATTCTGGAGTTAAAAGCAATTTACTTTAGTTCTCCGTTTGCCAGTATAACTTTAGAATCTAAAAAATCTTCAAGGGAATTCTGTGGCCTTACTCTCCTAATGACATTATTTTGGGCATTATTTTTTTCATTTATCTTTAAAATTATAGTTGACATACAATATTAAATTAGTTTCAGGTGTATAACATGTTGATTAGGCATTTATATTCCTTATGAAGTAATTGCCATGATAAGGCTAGTACCCATCTGACTATATTTGGTATGCTGTATTTCACACCTCCATGACTAATTTTATAACCAGCAGTTTGTACTGGTTAATCCCCTTCACCTTTTTGGCCCATTCCCCTCCCACCTGACAATTATCAGTTTGTTCTCTGTATCTATAAGTTTGTTTCTGTTTTTTTTTTTGTTTGTTCATTTATTTCATTTTTTATATAAGTGAAATCATATAGTATTTGTCTTTCTCTCCCTGCCTTATTCACTTAACATGATACCCTCTAGGTCCATCCATGTTATAGCAAATGACAAGATTTCATTCCTTTTTATGGCCAAATAATATTTCAGTGTATATATGTATGACATCATCTTTATCTATTCGTCTATCAGTGGACACTTAGGTTGCTTCCATACTTGGCTCTTGTAAATAATGCTGCAGCAAACATAGGGGAGCATATCTTTTTGAATTTGTGATTTTGATTTCTTCAAATAAACACCCAGAAGTGGGATTGCTAAGTCACATGTAGTTCCACTTTTAATTTTTTGAGGAACCGTCATACTGTTTTTCATGATGACTGCACTAGTTTACAATCCCACCAAGAATGTGCAAGGGTGCTTTTTGGTTCCTTGTTCTCTCCAATACATATTCTTTGTTGTCTTTTTGATAATAAATAGTCATTCTGACAGGTGTGAACTGATATCTTGTTGTGGTTTTGATTTGTATTTTGCTGATTATTAGTGATGTTGAGCATCTTTTTATGTGTTTGTTGGCCATCTGTATGTCCTCTTTGGAGAAATGTCTGTTCAGGTCCTCTGCCCATTTTTTAATTGGATTTTTTTATGTTAAGTTGTCTTTATATATTTTGGGTATTAACCCCTTATCAGAGATATCCTCTGCAATTATCTTCTCCTATTCACTTGGTTGCCTTTTTGTTTTGTCGATGGTTTCCTTCAACTGGAAATCAAACTGGTGACCTTTCAGTTGGCAGGCCAGTGCTTCATCCACTGAGCTGTACCAGCCAGGGCTATTTTGAGCATCCTTTAGGAAAAGATTTATATAATTAATTTTATTATAGTTCCAGATTAAAATTTTAATTTTAAGCAAATTGTCATTTAAGAAAATGTAGAAAATACAAAATTATAGATAGAAGGAAAAATTAAAACCACCCACGGTTCTATCACCTGGATTTAACTACTGTTAAATATCCCTATTGTTTTTTCTAATCTTAGTTTTTCTCTGTGAGTAGGTGGAGTCTTTACATAGTAGTTCTAACTATACTATGCCTTTCCCCTGAATAGTGTTGTTGAAAGCAGATTATTATAAACACTTGTTGAGTATTTCACCATTGTGCTGAGGGTTTTCACAGACATAATTTAATTTCATCTCTGCCAGAAAAGTACTATTTTTCTATTTTGAGAAGAAAAAACTGAAGGTTAAAGAAGTTGCTACTAGAAAAACAAAGCCCACTCCCGTTTCACTAACATTTTCCAACTTAACTACATGCATTAAACTTTTACACTGACTTCTGAATTACAGTGTAACATCAACACTAAAAACAGTGTTGCTACTAGTTCAAGGATGCATAGCTAGTAAAAGAGTAGACTCAAGATTCAAGCTCAGGTCCTACCACTACATGTCTATGTGCTTTTAGTTCTATGTCATATCTGCTGAATTTGTCCTATGAAATTATTTTTATTAAAAATTGTCTGTAGATATTTTTGTTATTCTTAAAATGAAAATTATCATTACAGATATAAGCCTTCCAAAGTCAGCAACAATCTGTTATACAGCAGCACTATTGAAGACAAGGACTGTTTCAGATAAGTAAGCAGTTATAGGAACTACAATAACTTAGAAAGACTGCTAAGCTCACTATTATGTTTTCTCTCCACTGACTTAAAACAATGCTTGTGTTCCTTCCTACTTCCTTCTCAATAAAACGTATGGGTTTCTGTGGCTTCTTACTGTGTGTCGTGGAAAGGGCAAGGTTTTTAGAGCTAAAGTAAACCTGGGCTCAAATTCAAGCGTACTGCATACCAGGTGTGGATCTTTGGGCACGTTAATCAGTTTGAGTCTCTTCCTCATCTGCAGAATAAGAATAAGAATGAGAATAAGAATAGTGTAGGTTCTGTGAGGATTAGATCTGCATTGAATGCCTGAAACAATGCTAGGAAGACAGTATATATAGTACATAGCAGCTATGATGATAATGATAAGATGTGTGGTAGGGAAATAAGTTTCATGTTATCTGCTCTGAGATTATAACTCTGAATTATTCTGTATTCTTTGTAATTGTGACTGCTTTTAACAAATTTCACTTCATTCCACAGATAACATATTCAGAAACCAACCAAAAGGCAACCATATTCTTTCACCTTAGATTACTCTTCTAGATATGAATTAGAATGGAGTATTTGCAGTCTGTTTCCTTTTCATGAACATTTGATAAGACTGTACTTCTATTTCGTGAGATCCTCTGAAATCCCTATGTAACCTTTCATATTTCATTATCTTTAAAGTGTGCTTTCAATGGACTTCTCCTGAAGTCTTTCACTGCCTAAATTTGAAAGTTTCCATTTCTTATGCTACCTTCTATATATATTGGACCAAAGGCTATAATTTGATTAGTAGTTATTTGGCTTCACCAGAAAACTCTGATTAAATTATGATCTATAACCATGTATTTTTTAATATTCATTTCTTCATTTTTGTGGTTTTCTTACAGATTCTCTCCAGAAACAGCCTCAAGAAGAGGGTTAAGCACCGCAGAAATGAATGCTGTGGAAGCAATTCATAGAGCTGTGGAGTTTAATCCTCATGTTCCAAAAGTGAGAAATTTTATAATAACAATACTACTTTCATTTAAGTTTATCAAATTGATGACTGTATCCAGACCAAAGTTTGGGTCTCCATAATTTGAGTCAGAATTGTTTTAGTCCACTGTATTTTGAAGCTTATTATTCACCTTAAAGGAGATGTTCAAAGGCACTTGGAAAGGTAGGTAGGAGCAGTAGCAGTTCACTATGGGGTTGTAATTGCATCAAAATAGAATTAGAAATGCGTTCACTTGGCTGTTCCCTCCACTGTGGTTATAGAGAATAAATAAAATGACTTGACCCTAATAAAAGATCATTCATATTTCTGATTACTAGATTAAATTTCCTATTACAGTGAAAGGTGTTTACATCTAAACAGATGCCTGGGTTTTGAACTAGGGCTGAGTAGACAAAGACTGAAAACGAATAGATTAAAATAGTCAATGATAGGCCACAGATGTGGAAGTTCCCGTAAAAACGGCTGAGTTGATGTTTTTTTGGGTCTCAGATGAAACTGTACCCATATCATTTGTCTTTATATTATGCACCTTGCAGACATACAGATTATTGGTTAATCTTTGTGTTATCACCCAAGATTAAATTTTGCATTTTAAAAACAATGTCCCATGTTAGGAAGTATAGAATATTCAAGAGTAGCTGTCTTTGTGAGAAAATTGTAATTATAACTGTTGATTCCAGTTTCATGTATGTTAACAGAATTTGGAAGCTATTTAGATTAATTTCTAAAAGATACTCTTGAATATATGGAAGTTGTAAGTCTGGTAGAGTGAGTAAAGATAGAGCCTAGAAAACAACTGAAGTCTAAGAGTGAGAGTCAACAAATATTTATACCATCCTCTTATTAATTGACACTGGTCCCATAAATTTAAGTTGATAAAGTTTTTATTATGAATTTAATACATATACAGCAAAGTGTAAAAAACAGAAATGTGCATCTTAATGGTTTATTATAAAGCAAATGAGTGGAGACTACCACTGAGGTCAAGCAACAGCGTTGCCAGCCCCCAGGGGCCCCGCTCGCTGTCCTGCACCAATCGCAGCTTCTTCCCTCTTGTCCAGAGGTAACCACTGTTCTGACACTAATTGTGGTCACTTCCTTCTTTTCTTATATTTTTGTTCTGTACTTTTCCTTTGTTGTTGGCTTCATAAAACAAGGAGTGAGCCCCTTTTATTTTATTCTCTGGAATAGCTTGTGTAAAATTAAAGTGATTTCTGCCTTAAACAACTGGTGGAATTTGCTGACAAAGCCATCTGATTGAGAAGGATTCTCATTACAAATTTTATTTCTTCAGTTTAATAGTTCAATTATAAATTCAATTTCCTTAACCATCCCATAATTATTTAAATTTCTTATTTCTTGTGTTGCTTTAGTGAATTGTATTTTTCTAGATATTTATCTCATAAAATTTCTCAAATTTGTTGGCAGAAAGATTTCGTAAAATCCTCTTATTACCTTGTTACTGTTTGTGGGATTAGCTATAATATCCACTTTTTACTTTCTAACACTGGCTACGTATTATTTTCTTCGATCGGACTCCCTTGGGATCTGTCCCTTTTATTAGTTGCAAAGAACGGAGCCCTGGCTTTGTTGTTCCTCTCTGCTGTTTGCTTTCTGGTCCGTTCCTCTCTGCTCTGCATGCCTCCTCCCTTCAAGTTTCTCTGGCCCTTTAGTTCCTATATCTTATATAGATATTTAACCCATTAGTATCCAGCCTTTCTTCTTACTAATATATCTACTTAAATCTATAAACCTCTCTCTAAACACAATTTAACTGCATACTATAGCAATATATTTATATATAATTTAGTTCAAACTGTTTGCCTTTTAAACATATTTTGTCATTTTATTAGGAGTAATTACAAATGGGTTATGAAGAAAACTTACTCAGTTGAGTTTGATGAGTTTTTCAAAAATTCTTAATAATTGCTCTGGCTGGTGTAGCTCCGTAGATTGAGTTTGGGCCTGTGAACCAAAGGGTCATCAGTTCGATTCCCAGTCAGGGCACATGCCTGGGTTGCAGGCCAGGTACCCAATAGGGGTCATGCAAGAGGCAACCACACACTGATGTTTTTCTCCCTCTCTTTCTCCTTCCCTTTCCCTCTTTCTAAAAATAAATAAAATCTTTAAAAACAAAAACTCTTAATGAAGATATGCTCACAAATAAACAGTAAAACATAAGCAGCAAAGAGTCAGGCTAATACCAAAAGCAACCTGAAACATAAAAGACATATAAAGAAAGACAATGTGCTGGGTATTAAAAATAATCTCAGTATGAACTCTTTGCTGCCAGCACAGAACTAATTAGCTATCAAATCCAAATCACACCAAGGTAAGCTTGGCTAGTGGAAGCCAGGAGTCAATAATGGCGGGGAAAAAGTCCCTCAGTGCAAGAGATCCCAATAGTGTTTTGGAACATTTCCCTGGCTGGTACAAGCAGTAATAGAAGATCTTTTTGGCAAAATAGAAAAAGAAATACAAATGGAATGCTACATTTTTTTTAATCAACAGACTGTCCCAGGAATGATAAAGGTGTCAGTAAAGTAGCAAGGGAATACTTTTTAAAAAAGATTTAAAGAATTTACTTTCAGAGAGGAGAAGGGAGGGAGAAATGGAGGGACAGAAATAATCAGTGTACAAGAGATACATCAGTCGGTTGCCTCTTGCACATCTCCAGCTGGGGACATGGCCTGAAACCCAGGCATGTGCCCTCATGGGAAATTGAACCAGCAACCTTCCAGTTCCCAGGCTGGCGCTCAATCTGCTGAGCCACACCAGCCAGGGCAGCAAGAGCATGACTTTAAAACATTATTCATTATGGGTTCAAAAAATATTCAAAACAAATTTATTTAAAGGTGTGACAATGTCCAAGTCCAGGCATTTAGGCTTAAAAGAAGTAAAATTAAAAGGACCCTTTTTTTCCCCCAAGTTAAGGAGAATTCTTTAAAACCAAACATATTGTTAAGGTGAAACATTATACTTGGTAAACAATAATTGACAAAAAAATAAGTGTAAACGATGTAATCTTCTGCCTAAACCAGTCCCAGATACTGTTCAATAACCAAGATGCAAACTAATTTTGTTGTAACACATCTAGACCACTCATGTCAAACATGTCCTTGGTTAGACACCCGGTTTCATTTAGCATTTTGAAAGCTCATCCAACAGCCAGGCAGGTCCCTCACACAGACCAGCTCCTTGTGTAGCACGAGTGGCTTGAACATACTATGTTCTGTTACCAAGAGGCTGAAGACCTAATTTGTCCATCATCTGACCAATGGCCATAGCTTTTGGCAAATCCTGTCTGCTTGCAAAAAGCAGCAACACTGCATCTCACAACTGATCTTCCTGAAGCACTTTCTGCAGCTCTTAGGCTCCTTCCTGAATTCTTGCATGACCATTGCCATCTACCGCAAAAATAAGACCCTGCGTATTCTTGGAGTAATGGAAGTTTTGGTATATTTCTGTTTCACCCTTATTCCTGGCACGCAGCTTTTGAGGATCTGAATCCAATCCTGAGAGTTTTGCTGGGACTCTCACTCTTGACAGCCTTGAACTCTTAACTTTTGTTCCCCTAGTCTTAGGAAACTAGCAGAAAGGCTGACCAGCCTTCTAGCCATCTTGTGCAGAATCGGCAAGCGTCACTACAATAAGAGGAGCGCCAAATGTGGCTCACTGCTCTGCCTTCTGCCCTCTTCGCACTGTGCTGATTCCTCACTCTTTGTTAACTGCGATGTGTGTGATTAGATTTTTTAAATATTTTGTTCAGCCTTTCCAGTTGTCTGGGAGGATTGATCTGAATTAGCTAGCCTTCCATTACTGCAAGCTGAGGTCTGAAAATACTTTTACATGAAATGCTCTGCTCTTTTAGTCTTCAGAGTAGTTAAGAGAATGGGTTCTGCAAACTAGTCTGCCTAGGTGCGTGTTCTGGCTCCACTCCTTAACCAGCTATGTGACCTTGGACAAGTTACTTCTCTGGACTCGAGTTTCTCCTTGTGTGAAATAGGGATAATATTCCCTACCTCTCAGAGCTGTTATTGAGATTAAATGACTTCATTTCTTTAAAGTGCTTAGACGGGTGCCTAACACACAGTAAGCATTACAGAAGTGATTGTTGCTGTTATTACCCAGGATGGGGTGGGAATCTGTTCCTTGTGTGAGAAGATGAGCAACAGTTCTTAGTCAGAACTATTCAAATTAAATATGTCACTGAGATGTCCAAAACTTTTATTTAGTTCACATGCAAAATAAGGAAATATGGACCTCTTCCTATGACTGTGGACTTCTTTCCTGCCTCAGAAACCCTCTTGTGTAAAATGTATTCTCAGAAGTAATAAATAATTTTGATGATATGAGTTGGATTTTTTAAAACTACTGCTGGCAACACATGTTGGGGGGGCAGTAGAAATTCTAGGTGTTGCCCTAATTACAAAATTAAATGTTTGAATAGGTAATATATATTAATTTCCAGATTAAATCTGCTGTAGATAATCTACAATGCTTTTAGGGATACTTTTTTTTGAAACACACATACACACTGAAATACTACTAAACAATTCCAAGAGAAATGAAAGAAAACCTAAATAAATGGAAGGTACATGCCATGCTTATGAATTGGGAGACTTAATATTGTTAAGATCACAATTCTCCTCTAATTGATCTATAGATTCAATGCAATTCCTAGTAAAATCCTAACAGGCTTATTTGTAGAAACTGACCAGCTCACCCTAAAATTTATATAGAAATGCAAAGGACATAGAATAGCCAAAACAATTGTCAGAAAGAAGAACAAAGTTAGGACTGGTTTTACACTATCCAATGTCAAGACATTTTAAAGCTTTTTAAAAAGACATTTTTATAGTAATTAAGGTAGTATATTATTGATGTGAAGATTGAAGTATAGATGAGTGAAAGACAATAGAGAGTCCTGAAACAAACTCACGCCATTATGGTCAGCTGATTTTCAGCAAGTGTTCTGAAACAATTCAGTGTT